ATCAGCAGCATCAACAAAACAACAATGAAGCCCAAACTTTTGGGGGTTGATTATCCTGTCTGTTAAGATACTCGCTCGCCCCCCTCAACATTCTCTCAAAGGTTACATTTAATTTATCGGACATATTTCCTGATGTTGGAGATTATCCTGTCTGTCAAGATACTCGCCCACCTCAACATTCTCTCGAAGGTTACACTCATTTATCGGACATATTTCCAGATTGTCCAACATCCTGGATCAGAAAGCCATCATTGCCCATGATCACACACACAATATGTAAAGTAAATAACATGCCGCTAACCCCTACTAGAATCCTTACAACACATCCAAAAGTCCAAACTCCTAAAATAATGTTCATAGAGCATATGTGTCCCTCTCATTACAATGATGTCTAGAAATAGAAATCTGATACTATAAGCCACAAATTTGGTCCAGAAATTAAGAGTCCCGATCTAATTTTAACCTTAAATGTCATAAACATAACAAAAACTTCAGAGGTTATCCAACATACCATTGCCATCACGGTTCCGGTGGCAACTCCCATATGAGTCTATTTTAATTTCCGACTTTTCAAGCCTCTCAAGAGCCTGCAGTCGAAAATTGCGTGCTCCACAATTAGAAATAAAGGCAGCTGCAAAAGCATCTGCCGTCTTTGGACCCACTGGTGCCATAATGTCATATTCCGCCCATGAAAAGTAGCCGACTGGAACATCTGATGAGAGACTAGTCGTCATTATGATCTTGTACCCCCTCCTAGCACACCAAACATTTCGGAGAAAAATTAGATACAATTTTAATATTTAAGGACTGTAAGTGACATTTGCACGACAGGAACTTAACACTCAAACTTCATATAAAAACGAATTATGTTGGATCTAATTTGCAAAAAAAATACTCAATATAACCTCAGTCACAATCCAATCACACCCAAATGTCAAGAGCACTATCAACATCATCAAATAAAAAAGAGACTGGTAAAGCTGAAGGCCCCTGGTTCACCATTACAAATAGATAAATCATAGATAACATCACAAAACAATAGCAACAAAGCTTTAATCCCAAATTTTTAGGGTTACTACGTGAATCTTACTCTTCCACTTACTTCTGTTGAGCGCAATCTCCTCCAATAAGCTAATAATTATCGATAATGTCATGTATGTACTAAATAAATAGCTTAGTAGATTTTCACAAAATTCCACTTAGTTACTTATAGCTCTCGCTGTCATCCAAAAGGCTAACTCATAGAGATCAAGAAGAACATCAGCATGCTCGTTTTTCCAGTTGAGTTAGACACTGTTAATGCAGGTTATACAGATGAATATTTCATTCGCTAAAACTCTGGCCTCAGTTTATTGTTAAGGCCTCCACCATCTTTATGACGTCAAGAACTACAACTAGTACAGTGAAGCTAATTATAATGAGCCAAAATGGAAGTGCAACGTCAAGATATCCTGCATCACTGTCATTGAATCATTTGGTTTTTCAGAAAGATGAAGAAAACAGGAACACCCTTCACTAGCTTTTTAATAATACATAAATCATTCAAATGTATGATCAATATCATCCATCAACCTGTACATTTACGGATCAGAGCTGTGATTTAAAAGCAACCACAGATCCTTTACTTTGTGCTTTTTATAAGAATTGATTACTTGGAATCTACAGGATGCATAGGGGAACACTCTCCAATAAGATGATATCTATATCATAAATATTCTAGGATGTTTTGATTACGAACTAAAGTATGGATCACTCGTGGAACATAGACCGCTTGTTTACAAATTGCTATAGTATCTATTCAAATAACACAGGCGAATTCACAACAGCACCATCATATACTAACATAGTGATCCGTCAATGTGGAAAAACTGGGAAATGAAGGGAGGAGATCAATGGTTCGAATAATAATTTTCAACCATAATTTTAGTCAAAGTGTTATTTAGGCCTTTCAGTCTGCAAGGTGTTGATAAAAATGATGGAAAAGTTAGGAAATGAATGGAGGAGATTTTTCATTAACTTTAGACAAGACAAATGATTTGAATTCAGAAACTCCATAAGGTGTTGAATCTGTTGATACATGGGTAAAAATTTTTGATTGTATGGTTTGTCATTCTCAAAACATTAAGAATTTTAGATGAATGATCACAAGTAAACAGGTTGGTTTTAAATGTTGTAAATCTAGTATATACCTTTTCCGGTGATAGGATTTGAGCTTACATCTTGTCTGTAGGATAACCAGACTATATGTTGTATATACGTAATGTAAGCATACATGCAGAGAGCGGGAAAGCACAGACTTTACTGGAGAGAAGGGAAACACATAAACTACATAAATGCATCCGTGTATGAGAAATTCTGCATAACGACGAATGCAGAGTTACGATTCTCGTTCTTTAGACAAACAAACCTATCAGAATCTGAACAGATGTACTGTAAAAAGTTGTAAAAGGTTTAACCAGGCAGTTGCCATGCTTAAGCACTTTTGGTTACAATTCAAATACAATTTTTTGTACTCGACGACTTAAAAAAGTCATAAAATTATTTCTTGAATATCAATAATGAGTAATGCTGAAGAAATGTAAATACACGCATTATCCTCTGTGTCTACCTTCTAAGCACTCACACTCATCGATTACAGTTACTGATAAAAACAATAACTGTGCTTACCCACCGGCGTGCCAAATCAATGTTATTTTCTGCATAGTAATGTGATGACTCCATTGAGCGGAGGACACTAGATGTCTTTGGATTTTGTGGTAGACCAAATGTGGCATCTGCTATCTTGTCAGCAGAAAATGCAAATCTACAGCCCACAGAGCATGAACTCCAATCCTGATATAAAACTAACTTTAGAAAAAAGAAAGAATATGGATGTGAAGCAAACGTCTTTGAAGCTTTATATTCCCATAATAAAACCAAAAGGTAGTTTGATGTCAATGCTTTCATACAACAATATGAATACAGAATATGTGATATATAAGCAGAACTACAATAGTAGCATTTCCACATGCTTTATCTCATCCCAGTCTCATTATAGTAACGATAATTACAAGTTTCTGAACACAATTTCTAGAAAACCAAACTAGCAGCCTATATGGAGAGAATTGGTGAGCCAGTCTTTAGCAGCACATAACTTATTAAAAGTATTTCTGCATGGAAGCCTGATTAAATATTACCTGATAAATCCAACACTTACCATAGTTAGAAAAACAAAACTGAACATTTTGAAGTTACAGTTTCAATTTACTAAATACACATATCCAGTAAACTTCTAATTAAAAAAATTTCTGCTATCAATCTGCATACGGTCAAATGGTTCCGCTTCAAGTTTCATGGAATATGCACCATGCCACAAGAAAGTGCCATTGGCAGATTCCACATCCTTGCATGCTAAAATGAAAACAAAAAACAGACGATCAATTTAAAAGGAGTAACAAAATGTACATGAAGTTTCGTTTTCCTAGTATATGGCCAGGGCATGAAACACCATTATGTCCAGTCGTGCAAATACCATATGCTTTCAGGATGCCTGGAGAGGCACTGTGTAGATGCACAAGAACAGTTTGCTACTCTGTTTAGTGGAAATTTGTTAGGGACTTGGGTAGTATGGGATGCCTAAGTCCCACATCGAGTAAAATAAGAAGCTTGATGGGGTATTTAAGTGACTTGGTTCTTCCCCCTTAACAGCTAGCTTTTAAGGGTGGGTTCCCCAAGTTGCTTGGATCCTAACAATTGGTATCAGAGCTGGTTGTCGGCGTCACGGAAAGGGCTACCTGTGGAGGGGCTGACCGGCGTAGAGGCTGATCGGAAAGGCCGAGTAAAGCAACGCCAAGTGAAGCGTCATAGAGTGCAGCCGTCGGGACGTCGGCTCTCAAGGGCGGTGCTATGTTAGGGACTTGGGTAGTATGGGATGCCTAAGTCCCACATCGAGTAAAATGAGAAGCTTGATGGGGTATTTAAGTGACTTGGTTCTTCCCCTTAACAGCTAGCTTTTAAGGGTGGGTTCCCCAAGTTGCTTGGATCCTAACAAAATTACAGCCTTAGAGGGGTGATGGTAGTAAGGATGTTACTATCGTCTT